AGATTACCAAGCTGATCATTTACGTTACCCTCGGCTACTGTTGACAAGATTGTTTGAAGTCGTTTCACTAGCGTGCAACTTCCGCCTCTACTTTCATTCTTGATGCTTTTGAAGAGTTGGATTGAGCAATTAATAGTATCGATATATTGAACGAATGACTATTCGCACGGACTTTTGGGGCTAACATTTTTTCTTCACCGCGTTGAAAAACGTCGATTCTTGACTCAGGCACTCAAGACACACATTCTTACTTTAAACTAATGTAGCCTGATTATAGTCTCCATCATAATCTGGTTAGAGATCCGCCAGACTGATCCACACAGATGGCTGTGTTTCCCCTTTCCTCTTTGGATCCCCTTCTCCTTCAATCGACCTAGAGTGTGGGAACCGCTGTATATATGCAGCGACTGAGAAGCCTTAGATAAAATGAACACTTTTAGGAACAGAAAAGTCTGTTTAAAATCTGAGCTAATAATATCTCTTTATTTTTTAAAATTTTTTTTAAAGTTTAGCATCTAGTAAGCAAGTCAGTACTAACAGCAGAATGGTATTAACTGTAAGATTAGGCCTATATGGACATACATTTTCTATGTCAGGTTAGTCGAATATATTTCATAGTAAGATTCGATACCAGACAAATGCTGATAATTATGATTTTCAGAAAAAAGAGATCAGACAATCCCAGAAACGAATTCATGTAGATTACTATCCCAGTGCATTGGGGGAATGTCGAAATGGTGCCAAAGAGTTCAATTATTGAGTTCTCTTTGAGCGGGGCAAGAGGTGCAGTGCCCTCATGAAAGTTGAAAATTGACAATATTAATGACACTGACTCTCTGCCTCTGTCTCAGTCTGTCTCTGTCTGTCTGTCTGTCTCTCTCTCTCTCGCTCTCTCTGTCTCTACTTTCATTCTTGATGCTTTTGAAGAGTCGGATCGAGCACTTAATAGTATCGATACGATGAGCAAATGACTATTCGCACGGACTTTTGGGAGGTAACATTTTTTCTTCGCCGTGTTGAAAGACATCGATTTTTGACTCAGGCATTCAAGACATAAATTCTTACTTAAAATTAATGTAGCCTGAATGAGTGTCTGTGTGTGTATACACTTGTTTATGTGTAAGCGTGTATACATGCAGCGAGTGCGAAGCCTTAGATAAGATAAACACTTTTAGGAACAGAACAGTTTGTTTAAAATCTGAGCTGATAATATCTCTTTATTTTTTTATTTTTTAGAGTTTAGTAAGCAAGCCAGTACTAATAACAGAATGGTATTAACTGTATGATTAGGCCTATGGACATATATTTTTTTTAAATATACATTTTCTCTCTATGTCAGGTTAGTCGAGTATATTTCATAGTAAGATTCGATATCAGACAAATGCTGATAATTATGATTTTCAGGAAAAAGAGATCAGACAATCCCAGAGACGTATATCATGTAGATTACTATCACAGTGCGTTGGGGAATATCAAAATGGTGCCAAAGAGGTCAATTGAGTTCTCTTTGAGCGGGGCAAGAGATGCAGTGCTCTCATGAAAGTGGAAAGATGGCAATATAAATGACACTGACTCTCTGTCTCTGTCTCTGTCTCTGCCTCTGTCTGTCTGTCTGTCTGTCTGTCTGTCTGTCTGTCTGTCTGTCTGTCTGTCT